TTGATGGTGTATTCGATTAGTTTTGAGGGAGAGAGGGACCTGTACCGTTCACCTCCATTTCAGCTCTGTCGCACCGATCTCAGAACAGTACGCACTGACAATTAAAGGTAATGTACCTACTCATGTGACTATAGGGATTACAGCAATAGGCGAATTTACCAAAATGTTGAACTGTCCCTTTAAGACTAGACTTAAGACTTTCCTTTTTGATAAAGCTTATAGTTAGGGCTGGCTCAGGCTTGCCTTGGACCAGCTCCTAGTTAGGCTGACATAGGCCTAGTCTGCCAGGGGACCTCCTATAATCCATTCATCCATCCATCCATTTTCATCCGCTCATCTGGGGCCGGGTCGCGGGGACAGCAGGCCAAGCAAAACACCCCAGATATCCCTCTCCCCGGCAACACTTTGCAGCTCCTTCTGGGGGATTCCAAGGCGTTCCCAGGCCAGACGAGATATGTAATCCCTCCAGCGTGTTCTGGGTCTGCCCTGGGGCCTCCTACCAGTGGGACATGCCCGGAACACCTCCAGCAGGAGGCACCCAGGAGGAATCCTGATCAGATGCCCGAACCACCTCAACTGACCCCTTTCAATGCAAAGGAGCAGCGGCTCTACTCCAAGCTCCCTCCGGATGTCCGAGCTCCTCACCCTAACTCATTTCCTCCGCTTGTATCCGCGATCTCATTCTTTCAGTCACTACTCAGACTTCATGACCATAGGTGAGGGCTGGGACATAGATGGACCGGTGAATTGAAAGCTTTGCTTTCTGGCTCAGCTCCCTCTTCACCACGACGGACCGGCACAGTGCCCGCATCACTGTAGAAGCTGCACCGACCCACTGATTCATCTCACACTCCATTCTACCCTCACTCGTGAACAAGACCCCAAGATACTTGAACTCCCTCGCTTGAGGCAGTAACTCTCCCCAAACCCGGAGAGGGCAAACCACCGGTCCATGGACCATGGCCTCAGACTTGGAGGTGCTGACTCTCATCCCAACTGCTTAACACTCGGCTGCAAAACGCTCCAGTGCATGCTGGAGGTCACGGCATGATGGAGCCAACAGAACCACATCATCTGCGAAAAGCAGGGATGCAATTCTGAGGTCCCCAAACCGGACCCCTTTCTCCTCGAGATACTGTCCATGAAGATCAAAAACAGGATTGGTGACAAGAGACAACTTTGGCGGAGGCCAACACCCACGAGAACATGGTCGACTTCACACCAAGTATGCGGACACAGCTCTCACTTTGGTCACACGGGGACCGAATGGCTCGTAGCAGCAAGCCTGGAACCCCATACTCCCGTAGTACCCCCGACAAGACCCCCCGAGGGATGCGATTGTAAGCCTTCTCCAGGTCCACAAAGCACATGTAGACTGGATAGGCAAACTCCCATGCCCCCTCCAGCAGCCTTGCAAGGGTAAAGAGTTGGTCCACTGTTCCACAACCAGAACGGAATCTGCATTGCTCCTCCTGAATCTGAGGTTCGACAATCGGTCGGAGCCTCCTTTCCAGCACCCTGGAGTAAACTTTACCCAGGAGGCTGAGCAGTGTGATACCCTGATAGATGGAACACACCCTCCGGTCCCCTTTTTTTAAGATGGGGACCACCACCCTGGTCTGCCACTTTGCAGGCACTGTACCTGACCTCCACGCGACACTGAACAGGAGTGTCAGCCAAGACAGCCCGACAGTGATGCAGCCTTCAGCATCTCAGGGCGGATCTCATCCACACCCAGCGCCTTGCCACTGGGGAGCTTTTTAACTACCTCAGTGACCTCTGCCAGGGATATGGGCGAGAGTTCCCCCGAGTCCTCAGGCTCTGCCTCTTTCTCAGAGGACGTGATGGCCGGGTTCAGGAGGTCCTCAAAGTGCTCCGTCCACCGCCTGACGATGTCCCCAGTTCGGGTCAGCAGTTCTCCCTCTCTGCTGAGCACAGCCTGAGACAACCCCTGCTTTCCCTTCCCGAGTCGGTTAACAGTCTACCAGAACTTCCTTGAGGCCAACTGAAAGTCCTTCTCCATAGCCTCCCCTAACTCCTCCCATACCCGGGTTTTTGCTTCAGCAACCGCCACAGCTGCAGCCCTTCTGGCCAACCGGTACCTGTCTGCTGCTTCAGGAGACCCCTGGGCCAGCCAGACCCAAAAGGCCTCCTTCTTCACCCTGATGGCCTCCCTCACCGCTGGTGTCCATCAGCGGGTTCTTCGGTTGCCGCCCCGACAGGCACCGATAACCTTCTGACCACAGCTCCTAGCAGCCGCCTCCACAATGGAGGCTTTGAACATGGCCCACTCAGACTCCATGTCCCCAACCTCCCCCGGGATGCGCAAGAAATTCTCCCGGAGGTGGGAGTTGAAAACCCGACGGACAGGGTCCTCTGCCAGACGTTCCCAGTTCACCCTCACTACACGTTTGGGTTTACCAAGTCTGTCTGGCAGCCTCCCCCGCCATCTGATCCAACTCACCACCAGGTGGTGATCAGTTGACAGCTCTGCTCCTCTCTTCACCCGCGTGTCCAAGACACATGGCCGCAGATCTACTGATATGACCACAAAGTCGATCACTGATCTTAGGCCTAGGGTGTTCTGGTACCAGGTACACTTATGAACCTCCCTGTGTTTGAACATGGTGTTCGTTATGGCCAGTCCATGGCTCGCACAGAAGTCCAATAACAAAGCGCCACTCGGGTTCAGATCAGTCAGGCCATTCCTCCCAATCACCCCCCTCCAAGTTTCTCCGTCATTGCCCACGTGACCGTTGAAGTCCCCCAGGAGAACTATGGAATCCCCAGCCGGCATCCTTTGCAGGACACCACCAAGAGACTTCAAGAAGGCCGGGTACTCCGCACTGCCGTTCAGTGTATAAGCACAAACAACAGTCAGAGACCTTCTCTTTGCGACCTGCAGTCGCATCGAGGCAACCCTCTTGTTCTCCGGGGAGAACCCCAACACAGCGGCGCTCAGCCGGGGGCTTGTGAGTATCCCCACACCCGCCTGGAGCCTCTCACCCTGAGCAACTCCGGAAAAGGAGAGATTCCAGCCCCTGGACCAGAACCAGTGCTGTGAGTGGAGGTGAGCCCAACTATACCTAGTCGGTACCGATCCACCTCCCGCACCAGCTCCGGCTCCTTCCCCACCAGAGAGGTGACATTCCACGTACCAAAAGCCAGCCCGCGACGCCAGGGATCGGCACGCCAGGGGCCCTGCCCCTACCTGCCACCCGGCACACAATGCACCTGACCCCAATTTCTATCCCTGCGGGTGGTGGGCCACAGGGCGACGGCTCCATGTCACCACTTCGGGCTGAGCCCGACCAGGCCCCATGGTCTAAGGCCCGGCCACCAGACGCTCGTTGGCGAGCTCTCCCCCCTGGGTCTGGCTCCAGGAGGAGGCCCCAGTTTCCCCATAACGGGCAAGGTGCTCTTCTCCCGAGTGGTCCGCTTCATCGAAGGTCTCTGAATAACCTCCTGTAATACACCGATCACCTTTTCTCCTTCTCTCTCTCTCCCTCTCCTTTGCTAACACTCATGTCCTGCATCTTTCTGCATCTCGCTAAAAGGGGATTTATGGTCGTGCACTGACCCTATGCACGTAGCCTACGCACGTCGCCTATGTTGTTGTGAGCATTTTTACTTCTGCGGTGGTGTGTCTGTGTCACTCTGCAGTTACACCTCCAAAACACTAGTCGGCGGCGGAGGTTTCTGTGAAGTGCTGTTAAGTTTAGTTGATTCAAAACACACATTAAACATGGCTTAATAGAGACAATTTGAAAAACAAATAGACAAATTGGCTTCACTACAACTTGCAGCATTCACAGACAAACACTTGTGTTAATCCAGACACATTTTCCCCACAAACATGCTAACGTTATTAGCACAAGCCTATGGCATTTTACATTGTATAAATGAGCCTAGCAACTAGCGATCTTTTACTCTTCTCATGTAAAACCAAGGACAACGGCAACATTTAACAAAGGTAACAGCACACAGCTTGGCTCCATAACAACTCACAAGGTTCACCGACAAAACAACTGTCCTGTACTAAACTCATTTTTTAAATAAATACAACATGCTAACGTTATTAGCACAGGCCTATGGCATTTTACATTGTATTGATAGCCTAGCGGCCGGCAAGCTTTCCCTCTTCTCATGTGAAACCTGGATAAATCCCGAAGCATAAATCCCTGAGGGATAATTCACACACAAGACTTAAAATGCTATTTTAGTGGAGGCTTTACTCTCTTCACAATTTATAGGTTCTTATCTGCGAGCCTACGTCATAACCTATGTGTCGATTCAACGCAGAACTAATTACGTGTTACTCAGCTCTACTGCATGTCACTAACTGTTCTCCGGAGCCTTTGTGCTCCACTGTCTCGCAGGTTAACGTATATTGAAGTGGTGCCTGGATGGTGTGACGTGTGTGGTTGTGCTGCCGCCGTGGTCCTGCCTGATGCCTCCTGCTGCTGTTATCATTGGTCACATACATATACTATCATATATTAATATACCAAAAACATACTGTACCACAATAGCCGTAATTATTACTATAATAATATTACTTAAATTAATGTTGTTTTAAGCTACTGTCACTACTGTCTTTCGTGCATCGCTCTCTGTCTGTCTTCATGTATCATTTTGCATACGGATTACTGTTAATTTATTATGTTGATCTGTTCTGTACGACATCTATTGCACGTCTGTCCGTCCTGGAAGAGGGATCCCTCCTCAGTTGCTCTTCCTGAGGTTTCTACCATTTTTTTCCCCGTTAAAGGGTTTTTTTGGGGAATTTTTCCTTATCTGCTGTGAGGGTCCAAAGGACAGAGGGATGTCGTATGCTGTAAAGCCCTGTGAGGCAAATTCTCATTTGTGTTACTGGGCTTAGGTAGTTAAGTTATGATAGATAGATAGATAGATAGATAGATAGATAGACAGACAGACAGACAGACAGATAGATAGATTTTGGCTGTTGAGTGAGTCCAGTCATGGATTCATTGTCTTACCTCAACATCATCATAGTGAGGTGGAAGGCCCTGGGACTCCTGTGGTGTGATGTAGACGTTAGAGCCCACCAAGGCTCCGAAGAAACACTCCAGCTTTTCCTGGATCTTCCACAACTCATCCTGCAAACACACAGGAACAACTGCATGAGAGCTGTTTCTGACAAATCAGACAATTGGATCTGAGATTTCAGATCCATATTTGTATATCTGGTGCACTAATATGACTGCTGACACAGTGTATCAAAACATTTTGAAGAATACCAAGGGTCACATAAAAGTTATTTTGATTAAAAACCCACATCAAGTGAGTTGCTGTTTCCAGTGTTGGGCACTCTCAAAATGTAATAAATTACATATTACTAGTTACCTTCATTTGAAGGTAATAAGCTACTTTAAAATATTACTGTGAAGAGTAAAAAGTTACTTAATACACCACTTTTGCATTACTTTGATCAAAATGATCTCATATA